GAAATTCCAAAACAAACAAACAAACAAATCCCTGGGACAAGTACAAGTCAGAAAATACTTGTCTTCACAATTATGTTAGTTTCATTGAAGTCAACAGATGTGAAGCTACAATTTTTGCAAACTAATTTAGTGTAAAGTTTATGTAAATTGTATGCTAATTTTATTGTTACTTGTAGTCCCCCAGTGGTTCAGTGGTAAGTCTGAAGGCTTATAACTTTAAAAACCTGCTTTCTATACCTTTAGTGGGCAAAGCACAGATAGCCCATTGTGTAGCTTTTGCATATAACAACAAACAAACTGTTATTTGTAAACTAAAAAAAATACGAAAAAACCTGAATTTTTTATTATTGATCAAAAAGTTATACTTTATATATCCAACCAATTTTTAACTTGTTTTGTATTTATTTTTGTGATTTTCTTTTGCTATGTTATTTTTGCCCTCTGAAGCAGCTACAAAACCCAGTAACAAATATAAGTCTTGCATGATCTATAATAACTTACCATTGAACAACATACTAAGTACCAAGTATTGTTACCTGACTTCTTGAAACAAAAATAATGTTACAAGAAAATGAAAAATGAAAGTATCTTATTACCTGGAAAGTATTTTTAAAACCTCTATATTTGACCTTCAAATGTGGCTTTATCAGACTACACCTTGAAAACTTGTAAATTATGAAACTTCTGTTGTGAATAAATGTATAGAGATGAAGAATCCCATAGTCACTTAAATCAGTAGAGTGCATACTTCCACCATTAAGCATTGATCATATTCGAAAAATAAGAAAAGATGTCCGTCGTTATCAACAGATATGGACCATTTTTAGCAGGTCAATGAGGAATAATATTCTACATATGTCCACCAAATTTCATAAAAAATCCTTTAATTTTTGACTAAGTTATAAAGCAAAAATAGTGTGAAGAACTGGTTCCCACGTTAACAGATAGAGATTTGTTTGTTTTTTTATTTTTGAGATCTTTGACTCATAACCTCCAAAAACTAATCACTTCTAGGTTTGGTCATAGTCCAAATGTATACCGACTTTTATCCAAATCTATTCACCCATTTTCAAGAAATCTTGCTGACAAACACACACACACATGCCGGGGTGAAAACATAACCTCCATCCAACTTTGGTGATGGAGGTTATAAACTTTTAAAACATTACAAATGATTGGGAAGTTCCATTCATCATCTTGAAGCTAAGCTCTTCCCCATTATAGCCAACCTTTCAAATCCACTTGTCCACAGACAATTTTTACCTAATCAGGAAAGATGGTCGATGCAATTTCTTGCACCCTGATGTATGTATGTGTGTAGGTAATATACAGTGTACTGTGGTGTGATAGATGTGTTTTAATACAGGATGGTGCTACCTGATGTATGTATGTGTATGGGTAATGGTACTATGGTATGATAGATACATTTTAATACAGGATGGTGCTACCTGATGTATGTATGGGTAATGGTACTATGGTGTGATAGATACAGTTTAATACAGGATGGTGCTACCTGATGTATGTATGGGTAATGGTACTATGGTGTGATAGATACATTTTAATACAGGATGGTGCTACCTGATGTATGTATGGGTAATGGTACTATGGTATGATAGATACATTTTAATACAGGATGGTGCTACCTGATGTATGTATGTGTATGGTAATGGTACTATGGTATGATAGATACATTTTAATACAGGATGGTGCTACCTGATGTATGTATGTGTATGTGTAATGGTACTATGGTGTAATAGATGTGTTTTAATACAGGATGGTGCTACCTGATGTATGTATGTGTAATGGTACTATGATGTAATAGATGTGTTTTAATACAGGTGTCCTCGTATACATAGAAGGCTGATGAATCGGAGCAAGTTGTTATTGATTTAACTGTTTTATATGGCTACATATAATGTGTAGATTACATTTTCAACAGAATATTTTACCCTAATAAAACTAGGTGATATCTGGTGGTGTGGACCTAGTTGAAGGTCTGGCTGTGGATTGGGTTGGTAGGAATCTGTATTGGGTGGATTCCAAACTGAACACAATGGAAGTTACTACTCTAGATGGAGAAAACCACATTGTGTTGTTTAGTGAAAATATTACACAACCTCGAGGGCTTGCTGTGGATCCTAGAGAAGAGTAAGGATTGACATCTTTCTTTCTGGTTAATTTCATAAGAAAATAAGAATTCACTATATTTTTTCCATACCATACACAACTTTAACAACTGTGAATCGTCATTGAGAAGAATTAACACTGGTGATTGTTTTACATTATTTAACCTGCATATTTGCTGATGATGGAATATGTATGATTCTGAAATGTTCAACTATTAAAGATGTTTACAGTTGTTGCCTCGGCTCTACTCTTTCTTATGAAAGTTCTTTTTCTATTTAATTAATCAGTTGCTAATACATTTAGACAATAGTATGGACCAAAAGCTTTACATCTCTTCAGGACATTTGAAAAACTGGATAAAAAAGTGGGAAAAGTCAGTCTTAACATTTTATTCCTTACTGGCTGCAAATGGTGTCATCTTACTCTAAAGTTCCTCAATTTTAAAACCACACTTAAAATGTAGTGTATTACTGAACTTAAAAGAACTGTGCTAAGATAAATGAGTTCAATAAAGATTGGAAGAATTTCTTTATATTGTGTTGCAATTTTCACCAGGCTTTTGTTAATATTACAAAATATTGTTTTAGGAAAATATTGCGTTTAGACACTTTTTTGTTAAAGTAACACCTTTAATATGGAATAAATGTGGGTGTTATCTACAATTTACTTGATATTTGACACCTGAAAAAATATGCGGAAAATTTCAGTAAAATGCATTTAACATTATGTGCCTATTTTGTTTTTTTTAATACAGTTTTTATAGTTTGTGAGTTTCATAGAAAAAAAACTTTAATATTTGTATTTTGTGTATGTTTTGGGAAAAGTATTTTAGTACTTATATGTTTGCACCCGACATGAGTTAGGTAGAATAAAATAACTAGTAACAGGATCACTTTAAATAGTATAATTAGTGTTTTGACATATAGTCTTAAACAATGTTATTGTTGTATAATATGTTTCTTTTATAAATCTATAAAGGATTCTTCTTATATTTTAATACCTTGTCTTGTATAAGGAATTATAATGATTCTTAAAAATTAAAAATTAAGACAATGAAGAAGATAGCAGAAGCTGATATTGTTATTGAAACATTATGTAAACAGTGCCTATAATATTTTGGTATCATTTATGTAATGCAACATTATATGTATAATACATATTTAAATATGTATATATTTGAACTGTTGTAGATTGAGACTGGTAAAAAGCAGAATATAGTATGAATAAAACCTGGGCAGATATATCTAATGTGATTTTTATAAGTTTCAAGCTAAAAAAAAATGGGGGTTATTTGATAACAAAGGTTCATCCTCAAACATTTGTTTGTCAACAGAGTTAGACTGGTTTTCTGGTCTGACTGGGGAGAGAATCCACGTATTGAAAGTGCTGGATTAGATGGTTCCTTGAGGCAAACTGTTGTAGATACCAAAATATTCTGGCCCAATGGTTTAACACTAGATATTCCTAACAAACGGATGTATTTTGCCGATGCCAAACTCGACTACATAGACTTTTGCAATTATGACGGCTCAGGAAGGCACCAGGTTATTGCTCATAATCATGTAAGTGCAGCAGTACTCTGTTTCTTTCATCATATAAGTGTGAAACAATAACACACTTTATTAATTGTTTCTGTTATTTCCCAACTTTTCAAATAGAACTGGGCGTATTTACTGGGCATGTTATTCATACATTATTTAATTTGTGTACTCTTGATCTGTAGCTCTATATGTGTTTATTTGTGTTGGTTTTTATTTTCTTTAGAAAAAACTTACATTTAATTCTAGGACCTCAGTGTGAGGACCAAATCTGTAATCTCAGTTGTACTGAAGAAAACTTGTTTATGATAAATGCATCTACCATTTAAACTATGGCATCAAGTTGGAGCCATGAAGACAATTTTGTGTATTTGTTTAAAGTTTAACACAAGTGCATATGTTAATTCATATTCCACATATTCTTTCTGCAGAAGATTAAACAGTTATTTAAATGGATTGCTATCAAAGCTGTGTTGTGTTAAATTAAAAACAGATGCAAAAGTGATATCCAGATTCTGCATGTTTTTTCTGTGGAAGAGTAAACAAATCTTTGTTTAATTGGATAACAGTCAAAGCTATGTTGGGTTTTTCAGTACTTAATTCATCCTCACTCCCTCACTGTATTTGAGGACACGCTGTACTGGACCGACCGTCTACTGAATCGTGTTCTATCCTGTAACAAATTCCATGGCACTAATCAAACAGTCGTACCTCACATGTTTAGTCGGCCTCTGAGTATTCACGTCAATCATGCAGTGTTGCAACCACCTGGTAAGTCCTACCTAGATCTTCTCAATTTCATTGTGTTGTAATATCAGTTTTTTTTGTGTGATTCAAAAATGTCAAATGCTTGATAAACATATCTTGTGTAAGGTGAGCTATATAAGTGTCTGTAATATAAGAAAGGTTTTAAACTTGGAAACATAATTCTACTGTAATTTTTTGCTCCTTCTAGCCATCAACCCTTGTCTGTCGTCCTCTTGTAGTCACCTGTGTCTACTTTCTCCCTCTGTTTCCAGTGGATTCTCTTGTCTCTGTCCATCCGGTTATGAGCAAGACCAAGCTGAGACTGGCACCTGCAATCCAGGTACACACAGCATTTGTATATTATAACTTATGGCTCACTTTTAATGCATTCATCATTGCTTGGGATTATTACAACTTCTTTTACACCAGTATGGCGTCTCCCACACATGCACACATTCATGGTGAAATATATATCCTTATGTGATATAAAATATTATTAATAATAAGTGCTTCACAGAGTTGAAACACCATTTATTGCAAATGATGTAACAGTGTCAAAAATTATTGATCAAAATGATGTGATAAAACATCTTGTAAGTGATTTGGCTGTTAAAAACCATTGATTGTAACTGAAGTTACTGTTTTCAAAATCTTTGATCATAAATGATGTGCCTGTGTTAAAATTTATTGACTATAAGTGATGTTACTGTGAAAAATAGTTGATCAGAGTGGTGTGACTGTTAAAATATTGATCATATTAATGTGATCTTCCTGTGTTAAAATATTTTATCATTCTAAAGTGATGTGAATGTGTCAAAACATCATTAATCATATTTAAATACTTTGACTGTATTTTGACTACAACTAGGACAACAACAAATACGTTACAGTAGCTACACATTATAAAAATATATTAGATTAAAACCAGCTTAACATTTTCTGTTTTTTCTGTTTGTCATTACAATAATTTCATTTAGTATGGATTTTAGTATTATTTGTAATGTAATGACGGTACGTCATACTTAAAAGTGTTAAAAGTAGGAGGTGTGAACACTGATGAGTTAAACAATAACACCCACCATTTGAATCCTGGTGGAAAAAGTGGTGTTATGTTACATTTAGTGTAAGTCAACGTTAAAACCATATATTATATCTATTTATTTATATATATATATATATATTTCAATCACCAGCAGATTGTACATACCATTAATTTTGTCACAGTTGATACACCATACCTGATGATAATGAAAAGTACACAACTTGTGGATAGGAGTCTGTCACCAGATGATACGTCCTTTGGACGATTTACACCTGTTATTGGAATAGAAAATGGCTATGACTTTGATTTTGATAAGAAAAATGGAATTCTCTTCTGGGTCCAGCTTGAAGTGGATGACAGAGAAAATGTAATTTACTTGTTTTTATAATTATACTGTAATTCTGTTTGCCACTACACATTATAAGCATGCACAGTAAGAATTTTACTCAAGAAAGACTGTGCTGACACATTATGTACTTGACAACAACCAGCCTGCCTGCAGCAGAGAGCTGCAAAACTGAGTTAACAAGTCACTACAACTGCTCTTTGAATAAAAGAATAACAAGAAAAGGTGGATATGAATATACTTTACTAACCATTTTGCACAACAATATTAAAAGCTTAAAATTTTCGAAAATGTTTGATGTTAGGTCCTAGAATAACATTATAAGTTTATTTATCAAATAGTATTAAGTACAGTTTAGTCCTAACTAAACTAAAGTTAAAAATGTACACAGGTTACAATGTTAATATATTTGTTTGTTGAACTTAAACCTGACATTAGTTAAGATTTTATAAAGTATGGCCTATATAAAAGTGGATTTACACATTTTAGTGTCTACAATTACAGTTTGTTTGTATTATTCTAGAAATATTGTATTTAAAGAGGTATTATTACAATAAAGATACTAATTTTACTGTAAATGTTTTACATGTCTCTGCTAGTACTTAAAATTAGATAAAGTAAACTTGTAAGAAAAGTACACTTTCATAAACATTTGCTCATTATTAGAAAAACTTTTTCACAAGTACAGCTATAAACTTACTTAGAATAATGTTAATTAGTTTGTTTTGTTAAATGGTTTTTGCATATTGAAGTTATCTAGGTCTCTATTTCTTGTGAAGTTATGTTAATACTTACTCCATTAATGTAACCTTTATTGTCTGACCTAAGGGGAAATATGTTATTCATCAACCATGTCTGAGATATTTCATGTGTTCATTCTATCTGGTGTGTATAAAAGTTGAGCTTCACTTGTATCATGCAAATTGTTTGTTCACCTCTATTCTTGTTAGTCAAACTTGAAAACCAGATATTCAGTGTCATTGAATAAGTTATTTAATACATTAATTTCCTATTTCCAGTGTCTAACCATTTTCATTGCTCTCATTATATTAGGTCGTCATTAAATTAATGTTGTGTTTTGGAACACTTTCATTAACCACCCCCGAAAAAATGTACATCATGTATAATAGTTAACTGAACTGCCTAAAGGTCATGTTAGTGTAGCCTATATAATGTGTAAAGTTTAGTATATTTTAATCTCTTATAGTGATGGCACACAACGAGACTCACATTCAGCATGTAATGCTCTTTGAATACAAGAAGGGAAACAATGCCTCTGTAACCACAAAGAATATCAAAGAAGTTTATGAAAATGTTTTAAATGTTCATAAGTGTCATCGATGATTCAGCAAATTTCATTCAGGTGACTTTAGCCTTAAAAACTCTGTTGGCAGGGGCCCCGACATGTTGGAATTGATATTAATGCTCTGAAGACGCTTGTTGAGTCTAACCAAAGGCAAAACGCAAATGAAATGGCTCTGAAATTGCATATCTCTCATGAAACAATATGTAAACATCTAAGGAATATTGGAAAACTCTATAAAGAAGGTTTTGGGGTGCCTCACGAACTCTTCAATGATCATCATTTCCAACATGTGAACGTTGCATGGTCTCTTCTGGCACATAATGCGTGTGAACCATTTTTGGACAGAATTGTCACTGGTGCTGAAAAATGGATTCTCTATGTGAATATTAAATGCCAAAAACAATGGCTCAGTCCTAGACAAAAACCACTTCCAACCCCAAAACCTGGACTCCATCTGTAGAAAGTGATGCTTTGCATATGTTGGGACATCAAAGAAGTAATTCATTTCAAACTCCTCAATCCACAGCGAACTGTCAGTGCAGAGATCTATAGTCAGCAACTGGAACTTTTAAATGAAGCCCTTCATCAGAAATGCCCTTCACTTGTCAATTGGAAAGGTGTTCTTCTCCACGACAATGCATGTCCACATGTGGCACATTTGACGCAACACAAGATTATGGAGTTGGGTTGGGAAGTTCTACCCCACCCACCGTATTCTCCAGATATGGAACCATAAGATTACCATCTTTTTCATTCACTGCAACACCATTTTAATGGAAAAATGTATGCAAATGTGGAAGGTGTTAAAGAGGACATCAACATGTTTTTTGCTTCAAAGCCAAGTGATTTCTTTAATCAGGGCATTAACAACCTGATTGTAAGATGGAAAAGTATCATTGATAAAAATGGAGATTACATTTAATAAATGTTTTGTTTTGATATATAAGTTGTTCGGGTTTTTTTATCTAAAAAGAAGTGACAATAATTTCATGACGATCTAATATATCTGTACTTTCAACATAGAAACATTTCATGTTTATGTGTATGGATACATTTACTTTGTAACAAATGGTTATCTACTTTTTTTATTTCAGAGCAAATTCCAATTCAGGAAAATCAAGAATGGAATGTTTTATCTTATGAACAATTACATCATATACATCATTAATTTTGATTTCATGTGACTGAAGTTAAAGAACAATATGTTAAATGTAATCATTCAAACATGACTTCTCACAAATACAGATCCAGTCAAAATTTTTAATCATATTTCAGTTTCTGATTTCCCATTCTTTTCTGTCCAGGGAGTTTTGTACAAGGTTAGTTTGACTGGTGGAAACTGGACCAAAGTTTTGCCAGATGGCATTATAGGTGCACCATATACAGTAACGTATGACTGGCTTGGCCAAAATCTCTACATTGGCAACAGGAAAGCCTCTAACATTGAAGTTTTAAAAGTGAGTTTTATGGTTATGTGTTTTCATATTTATAATATTTTTAGAAATATATAGGTATTTTATGCTGCAGTTAGAGATATAAATGTATGCCATGCCCTTGTTGGAAATAGTAATGATAGAATTTTATAAAGAATGGGAAAGAAGTAGATTTTAAATGTTTTCTACTATATTTTTTGTTATTCTCATATTAATTTATCTTATCTACAATATATGTAATATTGAATATTGCATTACAAGCTTCAGAAGGTATTCAAGAAATTAAGGTTTTTGTAGCTGAGAGTCAGTTTTATTCCTTCTGTATACCAAACTTGAAATGTAAGGTTTTCGTACCTGAGAGTCAGTTTAAGTGCTTCTGTATACCAAACTTGAAATGTAAGGTTTTTGTAGTTGAGAGTCAGTTTAAATGCTTCTGTGTACCAAGCTTGAAATGTAAGGTTTTCGTAGCTGAGAGTCAGTTTAAGTGCTTCTGTATACCAAACTTGAAATGTTAGGTTTTCATAGCTGAGAGTCAGTTTAAGTGATTCTGTATACCAAACTTGAAATGTAAGGTTTTTGCAGCTGAGAGTCAGTTTAAGTGCTTCTGTATACCAAACTTGAAATATCCTCACAGATTGATGGTGAAGAAAGTTTTCGAAAAGTTATCTTAGTCAACGATGGCACAGAAAATGGAATTGGCAAGCCAAAATCCATAGCTGTTTATCCAGAAGAAGGGTAAGATTATAGGTAGAGATTTCATTGAAATGAAATTTAGGCACACCTGCATCTGACCAATAATATGTAAGTTCATGTGCATCTCACTTGATTTTAATTCATAAGATATAGGTCAAGCTAGAAAAGAGTAACCTTTATCATATAGATGCTGATACATTATTCTGTGTCATAATTTCACCCTGTCTTTATCGTTATTATCTCAGTGTGGTATATATTTCCAGAATTTGTTTAAGTAGACTTAAATCAACAAATTTTTTTTTCCCTTTTTTTTCTTCCTACAATTGGCCAGGAACGGCTAATAGTCACAGTATAAGGTTATGTTAAAACATGTTGATTTAATTAAGACTAACTTGGATGTCCCCACAGTGAAAACTCAAGTGTAAGAAGGAAATTTTGGAAATATATGCCATTCAACAAACGTGTTGTAAATATTACCTAATTCATCTAAATAAATTCTCTTCCTTCTTATTGTGAGTTATCCTAGTTATGCAGTTGGTATCTTAATTTAGGTTTTCTTTCTTTCTCCTTCAAGTTCTCCCAGTGACTTCAGTGGTAAGTGTTAGGGGCATATAAGCTAAAGATTGAGTTTGGATATACATGGTGGGAACAGCACAGGTAGCCTATCATGTAGCTTTGTGCTAAACAACAAAGAAACATACTTTCTTTTGAATATGATTATTGTCAGTAATACATTATTTAAATAGCAGATAGGTTATGACTATTAAAATGAATCTAACACTTAATTTAAATGTAGCCTTTTTGTAAGTATTAATTTTCATTTGCCCTGCACTCATTTCAAATAGTAAATGAATCTACTATAAATTAAAAGCAATCAAGAGAGAATCTTTTTAAATTTTGAACTGTGTTAAATAATTCTAACTTTCAAAAATGTGTATTAACTTGTAATGAGAAAATTGACCATATAAAGAAACACTGATTTGATAATAAAGAGCAGGAAACCTTTTTTTGAAACCTGACTGAAAATTGAGCCTAGCATGATGCTTTTTTAAATATTATTGATAGGTATTAAAGTGATCATTAATATTCTAATTCAGAAGCCTATTAAAATTATGAGTGTTAAGTTACACTGTTAATGTTATCATTTAGCATATTTTTAATAATGTGTTCAAAATTGTGCTTGGAATTATTTTATGAAGTGTTTTATTAGAATTCTGTAGTAACATGCAAGTAAATAATTTCTCTCTAGGTTATTTTGCACCAACAGTGTATTTACTCTGGCTACTAACGAGAAATTGATATTCTATCAATATGGCAAGATGAGAAAAGATAATTAATATCCATTGTATATAAAATAGGAATATTGTATCATGTTTGTAGTCTTTCCATTTAGCACATCTTAAGCTAGTTAACTCAAATTCCTGTACTCTGAAAGCTAGATTTCATGTTAAAGAATCAGTCTGTAATTGAAAACTAAATTTCAGAATAAAGAGTTAGTCTGTAGTTTCAAAGCTAAATTTGAGATTAAGGAGTAGGTCAGTAGTTTCAAAGCTAAATTTGAGATTAAGGAGTTAGTCTGTAGTTTCAAAATTAAATTTCAGATTTAGAAATCAGTTTGTAGTTTCATAGCTAAGTTTCAGATTTAACAGTCATACTGTAACTTCAAAGCAAAATTTCAGATTTAAGAGCTAGTCTGTGGTTTTAAAGGTAGGTTACAGACTTAGGAGTCAGACATGTATTTACATTTCTTTACGTGTGCTCATAAGGATCTGACTAAAAAATACATTTTACCAAAGACGTTTTAAAAAAATTGAAAACTGAATATATATATAAAACATAAGACCAAGAAAGTGATACATTTTCAAATTGTAATCTTTGCTTTGAGCAGCAAGCTGTTCTGGCTTGATGAAGGGGGTATTGGTGTCCCCCAAAAACTGGCAAGAGTTGACATGGATGGAAAGAACAGTACAGTTCTTGTAAAAGGAGGGCTTCACCACCTGGAGGTTCTTACTGTTGACTTGTTAAACAAGAGACTATATTGGAGTCAGAGTTTCCCAGGCATTGTAAGTGATTATGTTTTGTGATATGTTAGGTTTTTTACTGTTTCCACTTATGATTCTGTGGTTTACTAAATTAAGAGTAATTTTTTTTATTGTTATATTGCATGTGTTAGTTTATATTTGACTGTGAATAGAATAAGTTCTAACTGATAAGAGATGAATTAAGGCTAGACTTGAGAGCTTTTGATCAAGAAATGTAGAAATTGTACTTGTAAATTTAATAGGTTACTATCTATGATGCTTATCACTGCACAGACAATCTGGAGTTTTATTTTGTAAAACAATATTTGTTCACACATTTATAAACTAATGTATGCAAAATTCCGTTTTTTGAAATTTTCATCTATACATATTTTTTGTTTGTTACGTCTATAGGTGATGACTGCCAGTATAACATCTACATTACAGATAAAAAAATAATGGAATTAATCTTAATGCAAAACAAATGTGAACTTGAACCCAGGACCCATGTTTTTCTTGATAATTATTATTTCAAGTATGCTACAAGTATTCATAAACCAAGCAGACTATTCTGTATTCTAAAAGTCATAGTACAATGTCACATTACTGATATTAAGGCTCATTCTTAACCCAGTAAAGCACTGCTCAAATCCACTCCAAATTGAAAGCCCACATGGTTTAATTCAGGTGGAATGGTTCTGAATTCTTTGATTTTTCTAATTTAACACCAGTGTAATTAATTAATATGTTGAGCAATCTGGATATGTCAGAACATTACTCGGGGCTCTTAATAAATCAGCTAAGCATTGGCCTTCGAGTTGAGCTATTAGGGTTAAATTATTCAACAGATCTGTTCTGTTATAATTACTGTAGCAGGACTTTTGGGTTGTATATTCTTACTTTATTCTACATTATTTATTATTATATATTCTGTTACTTTAAAAATGTGAACTTAGAATATTAATCGTGTTTTTATTTCATGTATCATTACAACAAATATTCATTAGTTTGTTGTGTCTCATAAAATGTGTATGATATATAATTTTTAGTTATATTTGTATTGTTTACATCACAGCTACCTCCAGTGGTTCAGCAGTAGGTCTGATAGCTAAAACCTTCCGGTGGGGACAACACAGATAGTCCATTGTGTGTAGCTTTGTGCCTAACAATAGACAAACAAATAAAACCTCATGGCTAGTTATACATAAACTAATATTTTGGATTAAAAACTTGTTTGATTGCATGTAATTGCCTTAGAGATGCTTAATATCTTTACTTGGATTTATTTTGCATTTAAAATAATAATTTATGCATAAAACATCAAATAATGACTTTCAGGGAATTAGAAACAGTACTAATAGGCTAGAAATAGTAGAATTAATTGCAAGTAATTGAATATATATATTCACAGCATTTGTTGTTTCTCTTTCCTTGCTAGAAACCTGCTAATAAAGTGAGTATCTATAGTTATAAAATTTACACAACCAACAGTTAATAGTATTTTGGGTATAATTAAAGAAAACTTTTATAATTAATATGTGATATTTTGAGTTGAATATTTTTGTGACAGTTTTAATTTGTAGGTTTGTGATAAAACTTTTAGACATGAGGACCTGTTGATCCATCTTGGCTGTTTCATCCATTAAACAAAATTATTAAAAAATGCAAAATCAGTTCTTATCTTTCAAATAGTTATCAAGCCTTTATTGAAATTAACTGCATCTACCACATTTGAAAGCAACCCATTCCAAATGCCAACCACTGTTAGAAAATTGAAACTTTCTTAGTTGAAGATGGCTTTTGTCTTGCCAAAATTTATATTCATGTTTTCTGGTCTTAAAGCTTCCATCATTAAGAATGAATAAAGATGCTGTATCGAAGCTATCAATTCCCTAAACAGTCTCAAACATCTCAGTCAGATCTTCTCCAACTTTTCAATGCCCTTAACAGTCTTATACACCTCAATCAGATCTCCTCTAACTTTTCAATACCCTTAATAGTCTTATACAGCTCAATCAGATCTCCTCTAACTTTTCAATGCCCTTAACAGTCTCATACACCTCAATCAGATCTCCTCTAGCTTTTCAATGCCCTTAACAGTCTTATACATCTCAATCAGATCTCCTCTAACTTTTCAATGCCCTTAACAGTCTTATACACCTCAATCAGATCTCCTCTAACTTTTCAATGCCCTTAACAGTCTTATACACCTCAATCTTTTGTCTTGTTGCTTTTTGTTGGCTTTGCTACTGATATTTATCTTTTATTATAATACAGAAATTGGTAGAATTATCATACAGCTCTGTACATTTTCTGAATTACAGTGTTTTTATTTTTTTTTTGCTGCTTAACACAATGATTATCAGTGAACTGTGCATTGTGGATATTGAAACCCAGTTATTAGCATAATAGGAAATGAGGCTTAATCGTGAGTGTGGGTGTGTGTGTGTGTAAATATACACACACTTGTACATACATACATCCAAAAGTGCTTGTGTGAAGGAAAAGTCAAAATTCTGCTTTAACTCAAATAGTAGAAGTTTATTGTAATTTTTGAGATACAAATATATGTAAATTTTTTATATTATTTTTTATGATTGTGTTAAAAAATTATTGGTTGAGTTTAAGAAATATCTATATTTGGAAATGTTTTCAACCGTAAATTCTTTTTTTAGCAGAGAAAAAGTATATATTTTGTTATATAGTATGATCAGCTTTGTTTTTGAGCATAAAGCTACACAATAGGCTGTATGTGCTGTGCCCACTATGGGTTACTGAAACCCAGTTTTTATCATTATAAACTTTCAGACTTACTGCTGAGCCACGAGGGAAAGGTATGATCAGAGTACATTAAAAGTATAATCATGACCACTTTTGTTCAGATGTCAGAATTAAATTAGAGAAAAAACCTGAATTATGTTATTCAAAAGAGGTTGTATCTTTGTAGATTGAAACAGCTGATTTTAATGGTAATGACAGAAAGACTGTTGTTCCAGCTTCTTCTCATATTTCAAAACCACAAGGTTTAGCAATCTACAACAACACATTGTTTTATTTGGATGTTGTTTATGAAAATATTGTGAGAGTAAACCTTCCTCGTGGTACTAATCCAACTGTCATGGATAAAAATATAGAAGATATGAGAACCATGAAAATTTATGGCAAAAGGCCAGGTGAGTTTATGTAATAGAAAACGGTCCATATATTATTAAGTTCTACAACCTTGCAACGTGAAAATATTCTGAAAGGTTTTGTTAATTGTTATACATTATGGTAATCTGAAGTGATCTATGTGTATATCAAAAATATATTGAAACCACCATGAGGTTTTAATTATCATATTTTTTAATGATTCTTCCTATCTAGTATTCCTTTCACAGCCATATGGTTCCTCTTCAGTAGATAATTAAAAATTAACACATAGTATAATAACTAAAAGTTATATAATTATTAACAAATTTATATGAATCATATATATATACATACTAATAAAAATATCTTAAAAATTCACTAATAAATAATATGTGTATATTGTATAAAATATACAAACAATTAAAAGTTACAGATAATTAGAAACATTTAAAATCTAAATGTTATTTAAATTACATTCAAAGTACTTCCAAATTTGTTTATAAAATTATTTTTATTTTTTTGATTATCACAAAAT